TCATCAGATTTTCAGAGGGGATCAAGAAATGGAAGAACTGAGCATGCTACCTCAGGCAAGCTCTGTAAAAGTTTTTGAGCAACAGTGAGTTCAGGGTTATGGTTACTAAGAGGAGAGATTCTGTCAGCCAGGTCACTGCGAAGCAAGTGTGGGATGGATTTCCTTTTTTGAAAACTATGCTTTATAAGGACTTCCACTGAGAAGTTCATTTGGCAGGGCCAAAATCTTCAGAAAGAAATTAGGCATTCATTCTAACATACAGACAAAACGGGCAATAATACAAATTATAATTTTTCTAAAGTCAAATAAGTCAAATATAAAGATATCATAAAGGAATGTTACATTTTAAAATGAAAGAGCAAAATTTAAAGACATAAACATTGGATAACTTTGCCCCTACTCCTTGCTTGTTATTATTTGCAACCTGAACTAACCTTGATTTTATTTCCAGACATGTGTAGACTCTTACCTTCTAATTTACCCTGAATATATGTTGGCTATAGAGCCCTTCTGAAGCTAGCAAAAGCTTCTGGACCTTTCTACCTTGTTTGGTATTAAAAAGTCTTTTGACTTCTTATAGTGGATAGTTTTCCCTCTGCTGTGCATAAGGGAGTATAATTTGCCATCTGAAGCTGTTCAGTCTAATTAAAGGGCTTCCCTCATTAGCCCTTTCAGCCTTCTGGTTACCTAGGAAGGCATGCTGCTGCTTCTCATTCCTCTGGACTGTACCTCATCACCAAGCAGAGGCACACATCCATATTAACAATATGAAATTTGTATCACTATCATTTTCCAGTGAAAGGAGTCATTTCAAGGAGTTACTTCCTCTCGACTAAAAAAAGAAAACAGAAAAAGGATTTTCCCTCCAAAAGTAATCTCCAGCCACTAGGTTAAGTAATGCTTTTATTTTAAAGCAATGGCATTTTCCTCAGCTTCTGAAATTGTCTTCAGGTGTTACAAACTGCTTTGACAAGAAAGTTTCTTAAAACATTTTTTTTAAAAAAACTTGCATCTCTACTAGACAAGCCATTTTTAAAGATATAATTAAAATAGAAGACATCTGTTTTTAAAAGATAGCTTTAAAGTGCTTTCACCACATTTTCAAAGACAGTTATTAGAGTATTCATCCCCAGCTACAGAATTCAATTTTTTAAAAAGTCGTCTTCTTCAAGTTTCACTGGGGTCCTTCACTGGGGTCCCCTGATGAAGAAAGGTAGATTTAGGTGGACAAAAGGAGAAACGTGTTGAGGTTATATTGAACATGATCAAAGAGAATTAATACTTTTCCAGGGTCATGAAATATGTTAATATTTCATTCCAGATTAAATTCAGCTCCTACCACCATTTTGGGATACAATTTTAGTGAATAATATATGAGGGAATTAGGAACTTTTATTTCCCATTTCTATTTTTATTTTATTTTTTAAAAAAGGTCATTTTAGAAGTACCCTGGCAATGTAACTGAAAACCCATGGTGTCTCCTTTTTAAAAATGTATAATTCTGTGCTCTTTACAAATTAAGATATTTTAGTAGAGCAGGAGTTAATTAGAAAGATCCTCTTCTTAAGATTTTCCCCCATGAAATTTCATATGCCATTTATTCAGTCATTTATTCCTTTATCCTTCCATTCACTTACTTAACACATTTATTGAGCATCTACTATGTGCCAGGCAGTGTTTTTAGTGACTGGACAAAAATCAGGAACAGAAGGGACAGGATCTCTTTCTTCCTGGACCTTAAAATCCAGTCGGGGAAATAGATATTTGATAAATTAATAAAAAATAGTTATAATAGAACTGTATAACACAAGAGTGAACCCGAATGTAAACTATGGACTTTACTTAATAATGTATCAAATATTGGTTCATCAATTGTAACAAATTCCTGGCACTGATGCAAGAAATTAATAATAAAGGAAACTGTGGGTTATGTTGGCACATGGGAATTCTGTGCTATCTGCACAAATTTTTCTAAAAAATAATGTCTCAATAAAAATAAAACATTTTAGGGCTTCCCTGGTGGCGCAGTGGTTAAGAATCTGTCTGCCAATGCAGGGGACACGGGTTCGAGCTCTGGTCCGGGAAGATCCCACATGCCGTGAAGCAACTAAGCCCGCATGCCACAACTACTGAGCCTGTGCTCTAGAGTCCACGAGCCGCAACTACTGAAGCCCGTGCGCCCTAGAGCCAGTGCTCCACAACGAGAGAGGCCAGTGCAATGAGAAGCCCGCGCACCACAACAAAGAGTAGGCCCCGCTCCCTGCAACTAGAGAAAGCCTGCTTGCAGCAATGGACCCAACGCAGCCAAAAATAAATAATTATTTTAAAAATAATAAAAAAATTGAATATCTATAAGAGATAATTACTTTCAAGGAAATAAATAGGAAAACACAGTGGGATGACATAATTTGGATTGGGGAGTGAGGAAGACCTTTCTGGGGAAGTGTTGTTTAAGCCCAGCACTAGAAAATAAGTAGGAGCCAGCCAGGCAAAAAAGAGAAGGAAATGCATTCTCAGTAAAGCAAAGTGATACCATTTGAACTACCTTTGTAAATACCATCCTGGTTTCTTTGTGGAGAAGAAAGATTGAGGGGGTGGGTTTGGGGGGCAAGAGGACAAACAAGGAGACAAGTTAGTAGGCACTTAGAATGGACCACAGCTTTTGCTACCCACTCAGAGTCCTAGAAGAGCAGAGTAACAGTAGGATGTTTTCTTGCTCAGCTTGTGCCAGAAACCGTTAGATTCTCTGTGAACTGGGTGCTAGCAAGAAAGGAGACTGTCAATGGCACCGAGATGGTGTTTCCAGGTCTCAGTTCTTAAGATCTTTCCACTGGCTCAAAGGGATTTTTAGAATGAGGAACAATCTTGTGTGTGTGTGTGTGTGTGTGTGTATTTGAGACCACAGCCAGATGAAAATTATAAGGGGAAAAAGCTTTCAAGTACTAACTACCCAGCTGTAACAGCAGATTTTCATAGAAGTCTGTGCAAGGTTTAATTTGCAATAGTTATCTTTCTTCCTGCTGCTGGATTGTTGGAATTTACTTTGGTTTTTGTTTCTTCTAAGACATGTTTTTAAATTGTTGCTAAATCAACACAGAGGACACTTAAGAGAGGTCCATTTAGGCATGGCACTGTACATCAATATTGAACTGTTTGTATCAGGAAATCTTAGACATGGTGAATTCCCAAGAAAAAAAATTCTAGTGGGTAAAGGGAAATGTCAGTCAGTGATAGATTTCTATTGATTCTGGAACTGTTATTAGTAGCATGGAAGCTTAAATAGTTCAAAGTTTTATTTCCATTTAAAATTAAGCAGCTCTGCAATTACATAATCCACTTCATCATTTGTAATTTTAACCTGCCTATATTGATGTGCATTTGAGGCTTGCAAGACTATCTATTTTTGTGCATTTCGTTTACAGTAAAAAAAATTGTATGTGATGGTTGTACATTACATATAAAAAGATTCGATAACACCTTGAAAAAATCTTTAGCAAACGAGCATGCATTTCATAGCACTTAACTAATACCGGTTAATATGTTGATTTAACTCTACATAGTTTTTTTTTGTTTTTTTTTTAATTCCTGTTAACACAAACACCAAGTCAAGAATCTCCCGTTTGAGCAGCCCTGTTGTTTGTTTTAGGAAACAGAAGTGCATCATCAATGTAATTTTAAGTTAGTCCAGTTATGAATCTGGGATGAAGGGATAAAATAAAGTTTTCCACTCTGATGTCTCCATTAAGAAGCTCCCCTTTGTGTAAAACACTCCATGGCAAAGTTGCTTCTATTTAAAGTAGTGAGTTTGATCTTGGCTTTGATCTAAAGCTTTTGATCTTGAAAGAAGGATGGAGTAGCAATAAAGAGAGGGCAAGACAGATTTTCTTTAAAGAAATGCGATAAAGTTAAAGGAATGGTCAACATCAGCAAACGCGAGTGCGACCCGACTCTTCTCCCAAAGCTCTCACCCCCCAGGCTGGTTCAGCCCACTTCTCATGAGGATGGAAAGAAAGCCTTTTGGGGGTCGGCGGAAAAGACTGAGGGTATCTCACACTTTTATAAACCGAGTGGAAAGTTTACCCCTATTTATGAAGACGTATTGACCCCTTCTTAAATTCTACTAGTCGCTTTGGAGGGGTCCACAGGCCGGGCAAGCGCGGCGGCGCCCGGGCTCACCCAGAGCGCGTTAGCTCCCGCGACGCGCGGGCGGAGCCCCGGGTTCGCCTTTCACGCGCTCGCGGCTTCTCCCCCAGGAGGTCACCTGCCACCGCCCCGGAGTCCGGAGGGGCCACTGAAAAAGGTAAACTCAATGGCGTCTAATCCATTCCCAGAGAAAACTCCATTAGGAAAGTTCCTTTCCCTCCGCGAAGGCCATCTGGACACTTAGGTTTCTGACCCGAAGGGCGAGTTCAGGCTGGCCGCGGGGTTGAGGGAGCTTTTGCCGCTAAGCCTTTTCGCCTGCCGGCGGGCAGCAATTCTGCTCCCACCGCGGTCAAGAAGCCCTTTCGCGGTACCCGGGGTCCCGCAGGCTTGTGGGCTGGAAAGGTAAGCGCGCGCGCCGGGGATCGGCCCGCGCGTGGGAGGGCGCGGGCAGGACGCAGGGAGGAGAAGAAAGATGTTTGCGAAGAGAACAATAACACAGGCGGAGCGCCGGCGGGGGTGGGGGCGGAGGCGACCTGCGGGGAGGGCGGCGCGGCCGCCTATACCTTTAAGGCAGGCCCCGCCCCCGCCCAGCGCCCGCCCGCCGCCCGCGCCGCCGCCGGGGCCCCGCGCTCGCCCGCCGCCCGCGCTGTGCCTTAGGTGTTGCGGGCCTCGAGCGTTCTCCGCTCTCAGGCGGGCCGGCGGGGCGGACGGCCCTGGGCGCGGGTTCCGGCGCCAGGCTCCCAGCTTCACCTACCGCGGGCGAGGTACGGGGTTGGCGCGCCGAGTTGGTGGGGCGCGGGGGAGGGAGGCTGGGGCGGCTCTCGGGAAAAACTTGACTCTGTCCCCTTCCTCCGCAGCCGCTGCAGAGGGAGCGCCTGGCCGGGGCGGAGTGCGGGCTCGTGCGGCAAGTGAGCGCCGAGGTGAGTGCGGGCGGCGCGGTCCTTGGGCTCCCTCCCTCCCCGGGCGGTGGGTCGCGCCTTGCATCCCTGGCGCGGAGACCCCGGTCGGCTGCGTCGCGCGGCAGCGGTGGGTAAGATGGCCCTCGTTCGGGGGCTCTGGCTCTCACCGGCGCGGGGGCGGCAAATCGGGCCCATAACGGAGGGAGCGGCCGGGGCGAAGGTCGCGGCCTCGGCTCGCCGCAGACCCGAGGGCCCCCTGCGCTGAGGCGGCCCCGCGAGCCCCGAAGGGTGCCTGTGGCTCCCCCAGGTGAAGCCGAGGAAGGCTATGTCGCGAGGCTGTCGATCGTTTGTTTCTCACGCTGAGGGGCGGCCCTCAGGACCCGTCGTTCTGTGTTTAAAATGCCCTGTGGTTTTTGAACTTCAGGTCGCCAAATGGGTCCGAGTGAACAGGAGACCCCGAAAACGGAAACGAAAGGAGACAGAAGAAGTCTTGGAAAAGGTAGGGGTCCCCGAAAGAGAGCACTGGATGGAGTTCTTGATCAGTCTCCCCGTCTGGCCCTGAATACTTGGTCGCAACGACAGAGTAGCTTTTTTTTTTTTTTTTTTAAGTTTGCAGTAAACCTTAGATATACCTGGATAGTTCTATAGAAACGCTGGTTGATAATTCTAGTGACTTATCAACGTAATGTGTTCTCAGGAAGTTAGAATGACCCAGGATAGAGATTTCTTTCATGTTTATTAAATAGAGCGTTAGGACATAAGCGAGTTCCATTATTACATTAGACCAGTAGTATTTATCATGGTATTATATTATTATATAACTATCTCTAAAAAAGGGGGTTGTTCTGAATAAGTCACCCACAGTATCAGGTTTCTCTGCTTGGTCGTGATAGAGACAGTAGCACGCTCATTCATTTAGACTTTAGAGTACTCTGAAAAATGGAGAGAGAAAACGAAAGAAGTGTATTACTTTTGAAACACTAGGAGAGATTTTATTTACTAATGCAAATGAGAAGTTTGTTTTTCTACACTTAGAATTTCAGTATATGCTACTTTGCAGAAGTTTGGACTACCTGTTTTCTCCTGAAATTGTGTTAAGTCAAAACTTGATTTGTCATTGTAATAAGTAATACGAAATAAGGTAAGTAGTCTGTCGTTTCCTGAGTGATTTCATTGAAAACTCTCAGAAGTGAATAGTGTTTTTACAAACCTTACAGCAGTTAATGATTTTGGTTGCTTTTGCTTTAATTATTTTACTGTTTTTTGATTCTTGAAAGCACCAAGGGATTAAAATAGCAGTGTGTTGTTTTTCTGCTGCTAGAATGTATGATGAATCACTTCTGATTCTGAAGCCAAATTCTTGCTGATAGCATTGCTGCCAACTTCTGTGATGTGTTGCCTTAGTATGGGCATTGCAGCGTCCGAGAATGTGCACAAAGCACATCGTAATGAAGGTGATACCAAAGTTCCAGAGTGCATTTAAGGATACCAAGGGCAGCTTCGGAGAGAATTACAAAAAGAACTGGCCTAGGAGTATAGTCATTTGTAAGGAGTCATCCAGTGTGTGAAGAGTGTGACTCTTTAAACCAAGAGTCATATATGTCACTTCAGTTAAACAGTAATAGAAAAAGTTGTCATTTTGAACGGGCTTGAGTTTTCTGACCATACCTTGACATGCTATGGTAGGTCGTGTTTAACTTTCATGGTCTAGGTGTTTTTAAAAATGTTTGTGAGGTGATGGATAGATGAGATCATAAAATGTCCAAAGAAGGAAAAAGAATTACGGCTTATTTAGTATTTTAAAAAATAGTTTTTAGCTGTTATTTTTTTAAACCCAAAGTAAGATTACCCAAGCACACAATGTATCATGCATAAAAGAAGGGGAAGCCCTTATCTTTGTGGATTACCAGCTACCATCACTACCCAAATCTGAATTTGAAGTAACCGTTATCTGTGACACCCATGACCTGACCACTGCCTTCTGAGAATGAGAAGGGTAGGGACTGAGGATTTTGCCTTCCAGGAAAACTGGAGTTCTTCATTGAGCCATTTCTCCTTGAGGGAGGCTGTTGTGTTGGAGCTTATGGGGAGGACGCACTTTTGACTTTTCTTAGAAATTGTGGGCAGCAGTTTTGAGGAGGACGTGAAAATGAAGTGGGTTGAGACCATCATGCTGAGCTTCCTTTCCAGGAATGGAGCTTAAAGCTGACTAGCTTGGAGGGTGGAGGTGGGCAGGGCAAGAAGGTGGGAAATTTCAGAATTGTATCAGACAATATTGATGATCAGCGTCTCCCGTCTCTCCTTCTGGTCCTGCACAGCAACTGAGCCCTTTGCCCACTGTTTTGCCTCTGCCGCACCTGGGAGAGAGTTTGGAGCTCACTGAGGCAAAGCATATGCAATATTTTCAAGGGCAGGGTTTAGAAAGGGGGAGCGATCAGCTGCCAAGGGCATGAGAACAAGTTCTGAAAGGCACAGAAGCTACCCTGTAGCTGGTAGCCGAGGTGTGTCCTCTGATTGCCCGAGTGTCTATTCCAAAATGCAGATCAAATTCTGTGGTTATGGGTATTCAGATAGGTCATTTGTTAACTTTTTGCTGGGATTTGAACCTGTTATTCATAGCAATGTAGGTAGTTAACTTACTATTGAGTTTAGTAAGTTTTTTTAAATGTTTGCCATAGCAGAAGTCAATTTTTCTTTTTTCATGCGTTTACTGTTTTTCTGCAACGTTAGAATAAAACTGTGGCGTTTTCTGCTTTTATTCATTTGATGTAACTGTAAAATAAGAATATGAGTTTTAGTTGTTTCTGGTTGGTTGTACATTTAAAATCTAGCCATTGCTTTTATTTGCCTACTTTGTCTTTACCCCTTTCTCTCCCTCCTGCTGCCCTTTCCTCCATCCCATAAGTCTGTATTTGCACCTTCAGGCCTCAGGCAGAATTCATCCCTGATGAGTGAACTTGTGGGATGACTGGTCTGTATTTAACTATGCTAGGGTCATAACATTTTTTCTCTGATTTTTACTGACCTGCTCGAGGAAGGAAAACAGAAAGCAGTGGTGCAAGGCCAGAGTCTGAAGAGGGGCGTTTGGTGAGGAGTTAAACGTTAAAGAATGGAATCTTACAGGAACGATTATTTCCCCCCCTTAAAATCTTGAAGGCGCTAAGTGGTAGGCATAACCTGGTGTAACTTGAAATACTAGTTGAGGTTTTCAGTGAACTCAGAAGGAGAAGCAAAACAAACTTATACTGTGCTCAGCTGCGGGTTAAAATAACGAATAATGAAATAAAGTAAACTGGGTGAATGAGAGGTACCACCGGTAAAGTGATTTAAGATGCTCTCCTGGCCTTTCCTGGCCTACTGCTGTGTTGTGTCATTCCCACCCACCCACCAGATAGCTCTACTGTCTCTCTATTGCTGTCTTACGGATTTTCATTTCTTGTCTTTTCTGTAGATGCGTCATTCTTTTGTCTGCATTTTCTCCTGTTTTCTCTGACACTTATTTCCATTTTACTTTATGTTTTAGCCCTTTTTCCACTGGTGTAACTGAATTCCTTTACATTGTTGTTTTTTTTTTCTTCAATTTTAGTTACAAAACTCACCTCTCTTTCGCTTCTGGTCCTCAGGTATTTTCTCCTTACATTCTGATATTCTTCCTTTTTCACTATTTCGAGTTCCTTTTATTTAGTTTGAATAATTTATGCAACAGAAAGGCAAGGGGAATGTGAACAACTATACAAAGAACAACTAGGATGAATGGATCAGCCTGCTCTGCAAGGGGCGGGTCAAACAATGGCGATTGCCACAGTGAATTGTATAATGTATATTTTAAAAAATAATGTTAATAGATTTTACTAAATGACTACTGGTTTTGGAAGAACACATTTTTTTTCCTGCTTTTATTTTTAACTGGTTCAAAGATGAATACAAATTATCTATCATATTGAAAGATTAAGGACTAATATAATGTTCTTATAAATATATACTTGATAATACAGCATTTTTGATAATTCTTTAATCAGTATTCTAAGGATTATATAATAATTTATGAAATCATATATTTGAAGAAAATACCTGACTGGCATTATGATTTTTTTAGAGGAAGAAAATTCCAATTTTCATATTTGAAAGAAGTACCTTTTCTACTTTATGCACATCTGAAAATAGAACAAATTTTAAAAATACTAATTTCTAGTCATCAGTAAGTAATATGATGTCAGAAGTATTCATTGGCATACTTTCAAAACATTGAAAATTCAACAATACTAAGGTTTGCTGTTATTATTAACAAGAGCTCCTTCATGTGTGTCTGTTTACAAGCAAGTGTCTTGCTGAGGGTAAGTAAGATTGGCCTCTGTTACGATTAGTCATAAGAAACGCTAGGTGCAAATGGTCTCCAGTAAAAGCACCCTTTAAGGTTACCTTAATTATTCTTTTCTGCCAGAACCTGAAAAATAATACCCGTAAGCATAAAATTGTTTAAAATTTGGTGAAGTTTTCCTTGAAATATTGAGTGAAACATGAAAATCTAGAAAGATGGTTGTGAAACTGGATTCATAGCATTTAGCGGCCATTTTAGTGGGATCTAAATGGTAAATTCTATTTTTCTGAGTCTTTGAGAGAAAATACTGGAACTATTTTCTTTGTGACAGTATCCTTCCTAAATTCTGGACCATTTTCACTCAGCTTTTTCATTTGTTCTTTCCACACGCTTGATTCTGAACTGAAATCATTGATAACCTTGATAATAATTCACAGAAGATTTTTTAAATCCAACTTGGCTTATGCATTTTGCCACATTTATTGTTCCTTTTAAAATTTTACACACTCTAGGAGAATGTTTTTATTACAATTCTGATATTGAAATATTCAAAATGATAAAGGTAGGTACAAATTTTAAACTATTTAATAAAGTGCTTTACTGCTATTTGTCTTTTGTGACAAAGATCTGTTTTCTATTTGGTTTATGATTTCTGGAAAACAGTATTTAAGACTAATAAAAATTTTCTGTTTTATTTCTTGGATCTCTAACAGCAGTCGGCAACGGTGTTAGGCTTGACTCTGCAGCTCTTAGGATTCAAAGCTTGGCAAAACGGCACAAGATGAATTTAGGGAGTGCTGAACCAAAGGGTCCCTTCTCTTTATAGGCACTACCTGCATTTAGCAAAATGGTAGGTGTGGGCAGCCACTCTTATGTAACTGAGGCAGCATTCGTGTTGAGTGGTTTCCCAGGCACTGGTGCCCTTTCCTCTTTTCGAAAATGCTCTTGCCATGTGAGAATTCATAACTAGTCTACATTTATATAGCTGTAACCTCTTACAATAGCTTCATTGATACTTGATCTCGTAGAAAAGCTTTATGGATTCTAATGAGTCACAGCTCTTGAGGCACCAGCCGCCCTCTCTTACGCCTTCCCTATCAGTGAGTGGCTTTGTGTCCTCTGTTGTACTGATTGTGCCTTTGGATGACGACTTACTTGAGTGATAGGAGGAGGCAGAATAA